AAGTCGACATTTGAATTCACAATATAGGTATCAAGAAAATTTAAAGAATAATCCATACGCTGCTCACGATAAATCCCACTATGATTACAAACGTCATGCTGACCACGTATGGACATGCTCTCATAGGTTCATCGCATTTATCGTTTGCAAACAGCTCATATAGCATCGCATTAAAGGCTGGATCTTCAAATTCTGGACAAACTTGGCAGTTCCACAAATTTTGCACCTTTTAAATGTAGAATGCAAACATTTTCCAAAACCGTTTCCGAATAAACCTTGATATACATCATTTTAAAACGCAATTTGATGAATATCCGTTTGGTTCATTAATCTCAAGTGAATTCAGCAGTTTTGGATTAATCAACAAAGGTAGAATTATAAAGTCTCGGGTGGGAAACCAAATAATGGATATAGTGGGTGACCGGGCGCTAGTACATTGAGGCCGTGTTAATGTCTGGATGGGACCGTATGTTTGGCGAGATACCATCGTGCAACAGAGATCTCGGTCGAAAGATCATACTTCATCGAGTAACGCACGACACTTCGGATTCCGACGGACGGCATGACGTGTTTCGTTATTCCCTTCGCCTTCGATTGGAAAGAAGTGTAAAACCACGCAAAACAACTGATCTAAACGCTTGAGGAAAGGTTTCTGATAGACTGGGATCATGTCCAGCATACCATATGACGCGTTATATATGACGCGTTACCACGTCGACGGACGACGTCGCCCAGTGATTACACATAGCTGCCTCATTGATGCATTCTTCTTTTACCCCAGCTCCCATGCAGCTGTATGTATGCACTCATAACTGAGTTATGGCTTGAGAATCTGTGGTGACATATATCATTTAATATTTATTGAGTTAAATCACTGAGGGGGTTCTCGTGACTTATGCACTTTTCTAATATGCAACGTAACGCCGAATGTCTCGTGCCATACAAATGCGTTAGAAACCTCTCCCAAACAATGAATGTTATAAAGCCGCCAAACTTGTACATTTGTTAGAGAAGCGGAAATTGCACCTTCCGCTTGGACTAACCGCAATCCAATAGTCACTTTATAAGTTCGGTTGTTGAGCGTTGTTTTGACTTTCATTTTCGCTGTTTCTGGGAAACGTTCTCCAAATAATCCATCAAATGTCGTCTCAAATTTTTTATGGATTCATCGAGGCGCACATAATCATGATATCAGACATATGGCTGCTTGACTTGGCCTATTTGCACATCGGAGTCCATCCAGCAGTACGGCCTAGGAATATCAGGACCGTATTTAAAAACCTTGCTTCAGAGAACATTTCTGGAAAATGGGGAGTGTATACATGAGTCGCTTAGTATATATCACGCTGCGGCCGATTCGCAGTGCGTAGACAAGATATAGCGTCACTGGTAATTAAGCCACGGAAGCAAATCACGTGGTCACGTGTTGAGTGTTTGCGCAGCTGAAAACATCTTAGATTAAAATTACACTCACTTTGTGTATTTTTCTTACGATCTACTCAGTGTTTCGGCAGTTTCTGGAAATCAGGAGCTATCGGTGGCGAGTTCATTAGTGAGTATTTTCAAAGGCAAAGTTGTAGGTTTTGAAACTATCTTTATTAGTATGCACCTCACGAATTGCGAAAACGAGGTATCCGGGCAGTGCATTTTACTATTTTGATCTCCAACAGATTCACAAATCCAATACATGCTTCTAAAAGTGGCCAAAGTCTTCCTCCCGTATAAGCTGGTCAGAATGTTACATGTGCATATAGCTGCGCTAGGATATCACAGATGTCAGTTCTACTTATCATCCACACTGCGCGTCATTGTTGTTAGCCTCAGCGGGATGAAAAATAAAACTACAGAATTTTTCAGTAGACCGGAACTGGAAAGTATATTTTGAGATGGTTATTTTGTAGCAAAAGTCGACATTTGAATTCACAATATAGGTATCAAGAAAATTTAAAGAATAATCCATACGCTGCTCACGATAAATCCCACTATGATTACAAACGTCATGCTGACCACGTATGGACATGCTCTCATAGGTTCATCGCATTTATCGTTTGCAAACAGCTCATATAGCATCGCATTAAAGGCTGGATCTTCAAATTCTGGACAAACTTGGCAGTTCCACAAATTTTGCACCTTTTAAATGTAGAATGCAAACATTTTCCAAAACCGTTTCCGAATAAACCTTGATATACATCATTTTAAAACGCAATTTGATGAATATCCGTTTGGTTCATTAATCTCAAGTGAATTCAGCAGTTTTGGATTAATCAACAAAGGTAGAATTATAAAGTCTCGGGTGGGAAACCAAATAATGGATATAGTGGGTGACCGGGCGCTAGTACATTGAGGCCGTGTTAATGTCTGGATGGGACCGTATGTTTGGCGAGATACCATCGTGCAACAGAGATCTCGGTCGAAAGATCATACTTCATCGAGTAACGCACGACACTTCGGATTCCGACGGACGGCATGACGTGTTTCGTTATTCCCTTCGCCTTCGATTGGAAAGAAGTGTAAAACCACGCAAAACAACTGATCTAAACGCTTGAGGAAAGGTTTCTGATAGACTGGGATCATGTCCAGCATACCATATGACGCGTTATATATGACGCGTTACCACGTCGACGGCGTCGCTCGCCCAGTGATTACACATAGCTGCCTCATTGATCCACCGCGACAGGTGTTCTGTTGTTCTTACTATGTATTGATTCCCGTTGTCAGCGGTGTATTGATTCCCGCTGCTTGTCAGCGGAAAGAGGCTCATGAAATCATCGGCCAACAACTCGTCGATCCTCGAGACAGGAATATGGTTCATGTTATGGGTTTTCGAGGTCGTATTCATTATTTGACACCGCTCACTTACTTCATCACCTCAATCCTCATAGCGAGCCAGTAGGCTCTCTGCCGAAGTAAGTCGTACATTTTGGCGCACCGCGTATGCGCAAATTCAGGTTTTTCGAAGATAAGCTGCCGTCACAAGACGTAAGTTATCACGGGCATCAAAAATTCCGAATCAGTTGTGTTTCATGTAATTGTGCCAGGCTCATGCAGGCGCAGTCGGAGGTTCACCAGACTTCTGGCCTCCAGATCGACAACAAGGTTATTGGCCCAACTCATGATCCTGGGGCCCTCGTATTCAGCCCTAGGTCTTCACAGCCAATCAGCCAAATGGTTCCACCTCCATGCCAGGTTCTGGATTGTGACGTCGTTCTCTCGCAAGCTGGATCCCTTAAAGCTCTGATCCACTTTATACCCCAGTAGTAATACGGAACTCCTAGTGAGTTGTGTATTGGCTTCATTTATTCGAAGGCCAGCGTCCCGAACCCGCTTCAGTACAGCCTCCAGTGAATTTCGGGCTCTCGATTACTGGGTCGCTGTACACAACAATATCGTTTGCATACACGGCAGCATTCTACGGTCCCATCGTTGAACGAAGCATCAAACACCTTAATGTGAATGGTGCCCTAGGCAAACCTAACGGCATTCGTCCAAATTGTATTTGGGTAAGTCAAAATGTGAACGCCCGTGTATCCACTCCTGACGGCTAGTGCGCACCGTCTGTATTTACCTTTGTTCCCTCTTCGACTCAGCGATATTCCTAACACTATTACTCAAGTACAAATCTCTCTTTCCGTATATCTACATAACGTCAACAGTTCGTCCACAGCTGAACCATTTATGCACTCCTGCGACCGGAAAGTTTCCAGGGACGTCTCAAACAATTACCCTACCAGATGAACCAGCGCCTTCACGCAAAGCGCCAATGCAATGACTGCTGCTTTCTGGCGAAGAAAATTGTCAAGTATGGACCGGGCGTCCTCTTAGCCGTATTGAATCGCCTCTTAAGATTTTGGCGGTTGGATAAATGAGCCCTACGAATGCGCAACTTAGAAAGACAATGGAGAGAAATTCGTTTAAAGGTTTGTAAATGACACACACAGATATTCACATCAGTCGGACACGTGGATTTTCCTCTAAATGCATTCACTGGTTATTTGTTGATCTAATCCCCTGGATTTGACGTCTATTGTTGTTTGGTTCTGGCCGAAACATAAATTTTGCACTGGGACAGCAGACCATATTGATAGCTTGGAATGCTCGCACTTAATCCGTGCAGGATTTTGGACCTCTAGTTCTCCAGCGGGTCAAGCTCATCCGATCGTTTAGTTTCCGATGACCAAAGCGTGGAGTTTGCGTGCACAAATTTGCTTCGCACATTTCGCTTCGTAGTAAAAGCACACGAAATCCAGAAAGTAACATACTGGCGAAAGGTTTCTGATAGACTGGGATCATGTCCAGCATACCATATGACGCGTTATATATGACGCGTTACCACGTCGACGGACGACGTCGCCCAGTGATTACACATAGCTGCCTCATTGATCCACCGCGACAGGTGTTCTGTTGTTCTTACTATGTATTGATTCCCGCTGCTTGTCAGCGGAAAGAGGCTCATGAAATCATCGGCCAACAACTCGTCGATCCTCGAGACAGGAATATGGTTCATGTTATGGGTTTTCGAGGTCGTATTCATTATTTGACACCGCTCACTTACTTCATCACCTCAATCCTCATAGCGAGCCAGTAGGCTCTCTGCCGAAGTAAGTCGTACATTTTGGCGCACCGCGTATGCGCAAATTCAGGTTTTTCGAAGATAAGCTGCCGTCACAAGACGTAAGTTATCACGGGCATCAAAAATTCCGAATCAGTTGTGTTTCATGTAATTGTGCCAGGCTCATGCAGGCGCAGTCGGAGGTTCACCAGACTTCTGGCCTCCAGATCGACAACAAGGTTATTGGCCCAACTCATGATCCTGGGGCCCTCGTATTCAGCCCTAGGTCTTCACAGCCAATCAGCCAAATGGTTCCACCTCCATGCCAGGTTCTGGATTGTGACGTCGTTCTCTCGCAAGCTGGATCCCTTAAAGCTCTGATCCACTTTATACCCCAGTAGTAATACGGAACTCCTAGTGAGTTGTGTATTGGCTTCATTTATTCGAAGGCCAGCGTCCCGAACCCGCTTCAGTACAGCCTCCAGTGAATTTCGGGCTCTCGATTACTGGGTCGCTGTACACAACAATATCGTTTGCATACACGGCAGCATTCTACGGTCCCATCGTTGAACGAAGCATCAAACACCTTAATGTGAATGGTGCCCTAGGCAAACCTAACGGCATTCGTCCAAATTGTATTTGGGTAAGTCAAAATGTGAACGCCCGTGTATCCACTCCTGACGGCTAGTGCGCACCGTCTGTATTTACCTTTGTTCCCTCTTCGACTCAGCGATATTCCTAACACTATTACTCAAGTACAAATCTCTCTTTCCGTATATCTACATAACGTCAACAGTTCGTCCACAGCTGAACCATTTATGCACTCCTGCGACCGGAAAGTTTCCAGGGACGTCTCAAACAATTACCCTACCAGATGAACCAGCGCCTTCACGCAAAGCGCCAATGCAATGACTGCTGCTTTCTGGCGAAGAAAATTGTCAAGTATGGACCGGGCGTCCTCTTAGCCGTATTGAATCGCCTCTTAAGATTTTGGCGGTTGGATAAATGAGCCCTACGAATGCGCAACTTAGAAAGACAATGGAGAGAAATTCGTTTAAAGGTTTGTAAATGACACACACAGATATTCACATCAGTCGGACACGTGGATTTTCCTCTAAATGCATTCACTGGTTATTTGTTGATCTAATCCCCTGGATTTGACGTCTATTGTTGTTTGGTTCTGGCCGAAACATAAATTTTGCACTGGGACAGCAGACCATATTGATAGCTTGGAATGCTCGCACTTAATCCGTGCAGGATTTTGGACCTCTAGTTCTCCAGCGGGTCAAGCTCATCCGATCGTTTAGTTTCCGATGACCAAAGCGTGGAGTTTGCGTGCACAAATTTGCTTCGCACATTTCGCTTCGTAGTAAAAGCACACGAAATCCAGAAAGTAACATACTGGCTTAGGAGAACCATCATATTGCCTTGTATTTCATTATTTGATAATTATTTTTCATTTGCGGACACATTGTGATGCATTTCACTGTAGAGTTATTTCGCTGATCGACTGAATACTTGTATATAATTCAATGCATTCATCTAGTCTTGTCTCGGACATTGACGCTTTTGAACATGAACATATGAGGCTGGAGCTTTCAGGCACGTGCTCATTTTTTATTGCGTTGTATTGATGAAAAGCACCGTATTGTCAGCTTCCTTTCCACCGGTAAGCAGAGTGGTGCACAGTTTTTTTACGGTTGCTAAATTCGGCACAATTTAATTTCATCCCGCTCAGCTGTCAGTTGTAATTGGTGAAAATGGGGAGAGCACGGTTGACGACCTTGTAGGGGAAATCCCGAGCTGCACGGGGGGAACGGCAGTATTTAATTAGTTTTGAAGTGAATGATAATCGTTTCGCCTAAAATCTAAAATGCCGGACGTTTCAATTTGAATAAGCAGTTCGGTTGTGCAGCAGAAAAATGGTTAGGTGTTTACATGTTTGTGCTTATCTCTAATTTTGATTTCTCAAGTGTGGCGTGATGAATCTTTTCATGTAGAAATATGAAGCTATCGTGCTCGCGAACTGTTCACACATTTTCTACATTGGGTAGACTCTAGATGTTCACTGCTGTCAGGAATTAGTTTCACAAGGGTAGATTTGAATGGAGGTTAAATGGTTTAATGTGCAACATACACTACATGTCACTTACCACTGAGAAACGCTGTCTAGTTCGGAAATTCAGAAAGGCGCGTGTTCTTCTTTGTGCTAAAATTAGAACAAACAATTAAAAAAATTAAAATTAACATTTAACAATCGACTAAATAACTGTAGCGTGAATGTCCAAAATAGTGTGATTTGCGTAAAAATGCACATTTGCTTTGCCTTACTGTATAAATCTGTTCGGATGTTTAAAAGGCGAGGCTGACACTGGGAACGAATACTACTATGTGATGTAACCCAGAAGCTTAAGTGTGTGAGCAGTTTGAATCAGGTGAGACATAAAAAAGTGGAAAGAACTAAGATTACGAGATGAACTGACAAGATTTATACACGCGGTCAATCTGTGTTCCTTTGCTAAGATGGATGGGCACTGATTTTAGGTTATCTTAGTTGTTTCGAAAATTTAGTGCTAATTGCCAAATGGTGTCTTAGAATTTAATTGGCACACTCATCATTAATTGCTGAGAAAATATCGTTTCCTAATAAACACGTGCGACCATGGCGTTTGTGTGGTTTGTGCATGAATGTATTTGACATCTTAGACAGAAACTTAGAAGCTTAGGAACTTAGATAACCAATCGACACTTGCTGCGGTGGCAAACGTGATTTCATGGGCGTGAAACTTAAAAATCGACCAAACATTTGGTGTTTTCAGCCTAACTTCTGGTTTGCAGAACGACGTGTCCGTGACCGAAAATAATTATCAATGATCGAGGCCATATGCATCATATGCATCACAACCTGTGTCTCACGGGTGTGTAAGCGTTGTGAAAATGAAGGCAAACCGATTGACTCTTTGCAATTTTTGATTGAATTAGGCGATAGAAATAATGAATTCAGCATTCAGTTTACTCAGCAGCCATGCTTATCGGGTGTCAGCAAAGGGCACATGCGGTCAATCGCAGGAGTTTCCTGTTTAAGCTTTGTTCATGTGATCGGCCTTTAGACCCTAGAATGTGGGGTATAATTTTGACTGTCTAGTTTGAAGTCGAAATGTCCCTTGTGTATGTAGTGGGCGATAATTATAAACAGGAAATTAAACCTACATATTTCATTCGTCTAGCCGACGTTTCTGTTTATCTCGGGAGCTGATATGATGCCAAAATTCTATACTTCTAGCCAACATTTGGTACATTCGAATTCATAGTCGCGATGGTTGTGAATGAAATATGCTCTAAGCTGAACGATGCATTAATTTTCTGAGTTCACAGGTCATCCTGCTTTGAAATTAACATCTTACCTGTGTTTAATTGGAAGAATCATGATGCGGTTAACACTTAAATACACTACCTACATGCCAAGTTGATCGTTTGTTTTGTCGCTAAGCTACGCGATTCGATCGCAAACCTTCCTTCAACAATCGAGGTGAGTTCACGAATGCCACGTTAGGGAGAACGGTGGGTCCGTTGTTGTTCGCAGAGTAGTGTTTTGTGTGTGCTGCTACCCGGCATTGGCCTGCGACCACGATTAGACTTTTTCTCGGTCGGCTTCATTGGTAGCTGTGTTATCCTGCGCTCCGATGGATAAATAAACCACGTGACTTGCAGAATGCTCTCCTTGGCCTCTTGCTAGGAATGATGCTGGAGTTACATCTGTCGCTGACCCCTCAAGTTGTAAGCGTGTGAAATTTGTTGATCTGACTCTATGCACTTACCTGCTTCTTCGTTAGTGAATCAGATATTTGGCACTCCTTGAGAATTCGTGTTGTCCTTTTCACGTTGTGATGCGTAAACTGGGTCCACTGCACTGCATAGGTTGACAGCATTAGCCAAGGTGTACAAGGGTCCCAGAAATTACCTTCCGAGTATTGTGTTTGCATATGCCGAATTTTCCACTTTTTCCGTATTGAATTTGTGATCTTCCCGGTGATTTCATGGGCGTGAAACTTAAAAATCGACCAAACATTTGGTGTTTTCAGCCTAACTTCTGGTTTGCAGAACGACGTGTCCGTGACCGAAAATAATTATCAATGATCGAGGCCATATGCATCATATGCATCACAACCTGTGTCTCACGGGTGTGTAAGCGTTGTGAAAATGAAGGCAAACCGATTGACTCTTTGCAATTTTTGATTGAATTAGGCGATAGAAATAATGAATTCAGCATTCAGTTTACTCAGCAGCCATGCTTATCGGGTGTCAGCAAAGGGCACATGCGGTCAATCGCAGGAGTTTCCTGTTTAAGCTTTGTTCATGTGATCGGCCTTTAGACCCTAGAATGTGGGGTATAATTTTGACTGTCTAGTTTGAAGTCGAAATGTCCCTTGTGTATGTAGTGGGCGATAATTATAAACAGGAAATTAAACCTACATATTTCATTCGTCTAGCCGACGTTTCTGTTTATCTCGGGAGCTGATATGATGCCAAAATTCTATACTTCTAGCCAACATTTGGTACATTCGAATTCATAGTCGCGATGGTTGTGAATGAAATATGCTCTAAGCTGAACGATGCATTAATTTTCTGAGTTCACAGGTCATCCTGCTTTGAAATTAACATCTTACCTGTGTTTAATTGGAAGAATCATGATGCGGTTAACACTTAAATACACTACCTACATGCCAAGTTGATCGTTTGTTTTGTCGCTAAGCTACGCGATTCGATCGCAAACCTTCCTTCAACAATCGAGGTGAGTTCACGAATGCCACGTTAGGGAGAACGGTGGGTCCGTTGTTGTTCGCAGAGTAGTGTTTTGTGTGTGCTGCTACCCGGCATTGGCCTGCGACCACGATTAGACTTTTTCTCGGTCGGCTTCATTGGTAGCTGTGTTATCCTGCGCTCCGATGGATAAATAAACCACGTGACTTGCAGAATGCTCTCCTTGGCCTCTTGCTAGGAATGATGCTGGAGTTACATCTGTCGCTGACCCCTCAAGTTGTAAGCGTGTGAAATTTGTTGATCTGACTCTATGCACTTACCTGCTTCTTCGTTAGTGAATCAGATATTTGGCACTCCTTGAGAATTCGTGTTGTCCTTTTCACGTTGTGATGCGTAAACTGGGTCCACTGCACTGCATAGGTTGACAGCATTAGCCAAGGTGTACAAGGGTCCCAGAAATTACCTTCCGAGTATTGTGTTTGCATATGCCGAATTTTCCACTTTTTCCGTATTGAATTTGTGATCTTCCCGGACTTCGCGTATGTACACCAAGAAGAGGAGTCAAGTCTGTGGAAGATGACGTGTTTCTTAAGCCACTTTGTTGAAATGTGAAGCGGATTGTTTGGTATACTACACTCTTCCTTTGGTCTTGCCTTCGTTGTCCCCCGGTATGGATGTCAGTCTTTCAAAGTTGCATTCGGAATGTGAAACATGGCGATTCGGTTCTTGGCTAACACTGTGCTAGTGAGTTCACATTTGTTCTGGGTGCAAGATAGACCTACACTTCTGCACGCATTTTGTTTTACTGCTCTTCTGTGATATCTTCTTCGGCATTCTAATGAAAGGGGATGAATCAGACAGGACGGATGGACTGATCAAAAC